AGTCTCAGGCGCAACGCCGCCCGCCCTAACAACTAAGATCGGGGTGCGACAGGGGGAAATTCTAGACTCTTCGCGTATCCCCACCAGCAGAATGCCGGCACGTGGACTGCCGCTGGGGCCGTGGTCCACCTGTCCTAGTAGGCCCCTGGCCCTGCTGTAGCTGTTTTCACAACAATCGGCGCGCTCCGCTCCCCGCGCCCGCAGGCAGCCACCTCGCACCGAGCGGTTTCGCTCCCCGCGTAAGGACAGCCCTGCCTCACTCCTCCCTGGTCCCCCCCGCTCAGGTGGTCCCCCCAGCCCCATTGGCCCAGCCCCATCGTGGGCGCAGGGAACCCCTGAGTGCACGTGGATCAGCCTGCGCTCTCCTGGCTGTCGGACGACTGTGTTGACTGCGTCAACGGTTCCTGGCGGCGATGCCCACGGCACCCTCCTGTTCACTCGACCTGGTGCCTGAGACGTGGATTGCCCTGGTCTTGGTCAGCTCTCAGGCGTCGGCGTTCCTGTTCGAGAGTGCGTTCGGCTTTTCCTGATCCGGTGGTTCAGGCGTGTTACGGTGTCGATTACATCCATCGTTGTCCTGGCCAGTTCGCTCGTCCTCCCAGGTGGACGGTTGTATGCAGGATCAGTACTCCCCTCAGGAGCCTTGGTGTGCGAGTTTGGTGGCGCCGCCCTATGCACCAGTTTTGGGCCAGTTTGATCCCTTGGCAGCTGACGCAGTGTACTTTCGATTGCCCTCCTGGCCTCATCCTGGTACCACCCCGGCGCCATTTTGGCTGCGTTCCAACTGTGGTTGGTTAATCGTGCATGTGCGCGTTCCTGGACCTGGTCCCTGGCAGCTGCAGCCCTCGCCGCCCCTCACGCCCGCCCGCCCGCCGTGGCGCTGCTGAGGTCGCCGGCCCGTCGGCGTTGGGCAATTCGGCTCTTGCGCGGCCCGTTCGGACTTTACTCGCCGCTGGCGCCCTCGCTTGCGGCTGCTACAAAAAATCCTCACCAGCCCATCCAGAAACGATGTCCAGGCGAGTTGAGGTGAACAGGAAAGTGCGGCAGCAAAGAGGAGGACGGCCGAACCGTGCAAAAGAGTGAGAAGGAGAAGGATGAGGTGGATGGATGGATGGATGGGGGAGTGGGGAGAAGGAAGATGAATATGATGATGATGATGATGATGATGAGGAGGAGGAGGAGGAGGAGGAGGAGGAGGAGGAAGAAAAGGAGCAGGAACAGGAAGGAGGATCAGGAAAAGGAGGAGGGCAAGCACAAGGGCCAGAGGTCTCTTGGATGCCTCTCGGAGCTTCTTGGGGTATTTTTTGGGCGATCATTGGTGGCCTCTTGGGACGTCTTGGGGGTCTCTTGGCGATCCTGGGGGGCTCTTCGGGGTGGGTGCCTCGGGGGGGCCTCGCTGGGGCCGCTTAGGGTCTTCTTGATGGCCTCCTGGGGGCCTTTTGGGGGCCTCTTGGGGCCATCTTGGGGCCATCGTGGAACCTCTCGGGGCCTCCTGGGTGCTTCTTGGGGCCATTTTGGAGGAGATCGGTCAACGAAGGGGGGGTCCTTAATTACGCCCCCCCCCCCCCAGGAACACCCAGAATCGCCTCATGGACCCATCTTGGAGCGCTCTTAAGTGCTCTTGGGGCCGTTTTGGGGTTTCGGTTGGTTCTTTCTTGGGGCCCTGTTGGGTCATATTGGAGCGATGTGGGTGCCTCTGATTGGCATCGTAAGCGCGAAAGCGAGAATGCCACAAACATTGATTTCCCGTATGGTTTTGAAGCATTTTGGCCTTGTCGGGGCATCACTGGGGAGCTCTTTTGGCAACTTAGACCCGTTTTGGAGCGTCTTGGAGCATCTTCGGAGCTATATCGAGGCATCTCGCGCTATCTTGAGCCATCTTCGACGCTATCTTGGGCTCTCTGAGGCCCTCTTGGAGCCGTCTTGGCGTCTTGGGCCATCTTGGACGCTCCGACACCTCGCGGAAGCCCCCGTCCAAGTCCATAGGGAGGGTGTATGGGGGAGGGGTACACCCCTCCCCGAAAGGGAAGAAGGAGGGGTGGAAGAGGGAACTCTCTAAAACACCGACGCCCAGAGGGCTGGTGGGATTATTTATCAGGGAAAAAGAATGGGGGAGGAGGAGAAGGAGGAGGAGGAGGAGGCGGAAGGAGAAGGAAAAGGAAAAGGAGGAAGAGGAGGAGGAGGACGAGGAGGAGGTGACACTATCCTTGTTCGCCAGAGGAGGGAGAGGAGGACGAGGAGGAGGACGACGACGAGGAGGGAGGAGGACGACGAAGAGGAGGATGAGGAGGACGACGAGGAGGAGGAGGAGGAGGAGGAGGAGGTGGCTCCCCCCGCACTCCCTCCCCTCCCGCTCCGGCCCGGAGGCGGGAGGCAGCCTGGTTGCTTTGGCAAAATGGGTGTGTGGACTGTTTCCCGCCGTGCTCTCCACACTCCTCCCCCTCCAGTCGGCGGGGAGCGAGGGGGGGGCCGGCGAGAAGGAGAAGGCCATCTCAGGAAGCGGCGGGACTTGTCGCATGCCCTCGCGCCTGCCGAGAAGTTCTCTGTGCCTCCGGGGAAGGCCGAGAGGAAGTCCCAAGAAGGCCAGGGGCCTCGCGAGCCTTCGAAGCAGGCCCGCCCCTTCTCGCTTCCCCCCCCCTCGCTCGCCGGCGATCCAGGGCGGGCCTCCTCCCCAACGGGGGGCCAGAGAGCGCCGCAACGGCGGTGCATCGGCGGTGCGGCGCAGTCCACCGCCTGGGGCTCCGACCAGCTGGGCCCCGGCGGGCGGAGGGCCCATCCTGCGGCGAGCGGGCGGGGGGGGGAGTGAGGAGGTGATGGGCCTGTTTTGCACCACCACCACCATCAGTTGAAGGGGGAGGGGGTCCTCCTCGTCGTCCTCCTCGTTCCCCCCTCCAACTCAACTTATGGTGGTGGTCGTGGAAACAGGACCATCAAGAAGGAGAACGCCTTCTCAGAAGGCCTTCTCCTTTTGGGAGAGCCTTCTCCTTCTCACTTCCCCCCCTTCGCTCGCCGCCAGATATGGTTTTTCGCGGGGACCCTGAGGCCATGCTTGCATCCACATCTACCGCTCCCAGGGGTCCCTGGACATCGGTTCCCCAGGCTGTGGATCTGAATGACCGCAGACTCGCAAGTGTCGGGGGCATTCAAAAGGGGGGTGAGGACCTGAGGGGGGGCCCTCAGTGGAGAAGATATCACGACTGAGGCCATGACATCCCCCATCTTTCATGGCCCCTTTTTCTTCTTTCAACGCGTCCCCTGGCCCCTCCTCGGCCGCGCATGTGCCTCAGGCCATGATTTAAGACCCCCCCTCTTACGCCCCCCCCTTAAAACATCTTCGACGCCCCCCTCTCGGCACGTCTCCGAATCTATGTGTATGCATGTATAGTAAGGTTTTAACATGTATATATACATATACGTGTATGTATAGCCATACGTATACGAACATGTACGTTTGTAGTTGCGAGTCTAGGTGTGTAGTTGAACACATGTGTATACACATACATGCATGCATGCACATATACACACAGACCTACTTACACACATACTCACAAACATACATATATGCACGCATACAAACATTTATACATAATATATACATGCATACATACATACTTAGATGCATGTATATACACATACAACCAACCACACACATACAGACATTCATACATGCATACATACATGCATACATACACACATACATACATGCATACATACATACATTCATACATACATATATACATACGTACATACAAGCATCCATACATGTATACAGACATGCACACATACACACATACATACATACATACACACTTAACTGCGTATATACTAACATATATATATATATACACATACAATCCTACATACATACATACATACATACATATATACACATATTTACATACAGTCATACATACAACCATGCATACGTACATAAATACATACGTATGTGTGTACATATGTATATGCATACACACATACCTACACACGTACGCATATAGGTATGCGCATGCACATCTACATAGCTATACACATGCACTTGTATACCCATACGTACAAACACATATACATATACGCATCAAAACGTGCTACGGCCGCCTTCTTGCACTTCGTCCCCGCCTTCGGAAGCCTTCGCCTGCTGACAGCGCAGCAGGCCCGGGGCCACTGCCATGGCCGCGGGTAGAGGCCCCATGCTGGATGCGAGCCGGGGGGCTTTCCGAAGAGCGGGAGGAGGGTAAGGAGGAGGAGAACCATCGATCATCAAGGAACTGACGCAATGAGGGGAGGGGCGGACCTCCTAGCTTGTCTTCCTCTGTTTAGGGCACTGCACTGTAGGGCCCTGGACCGTTTCAGATCAAGCAGATTACCCAGAAAACCATCGATCATGCGAGTAGGACGGGTCGCAGCAGCCTCATCATCCGCAGCAGCAGGAAGGAGGGGAGGAGGCAGAGGATGTTGATATAATGATGATGATGCTGATGATGATGCTGATGATGATGCTGATGATGATGATGAGGAGGAGGAGGAGGAGGAGGAGGAGGAGGAGGAGCTGAAAGTCGACCAGGACAAGGTAGAGAAGGGACACGTGCAGTGAGGTGGAGGAGGATGAGGAGGGCTCAGGGCTCAGGTGTGTGCGAGACGGCCCCAGAAATCCAGGAACCTCTGCTGGGGACGTGCAGCACTCGCGTGCGGGCTGAGGATGAGGAGATGGAGGAGAGGGACCAGTCCAGGAAGAGGCGGAGGGGGAGCACGACGAGAGGCATGGGGAGAAGCGGATGACTGCGAGGACGAAGGACGAGAAGGAAGGAAGCGAGGGAGGATGGTGACGCGGAGGACGGTGAGGACTCGCTCGCGGGCGCGCGCCAAGAGCTGCTCGGCGGCGGCGCGAGGCCGCCGCGGCGCGCGCGGGGGGGGGCGCCGGATCGGCCTCGGCGGGCGCGATGTGAGGGAGCGGCCGCGGCGCCGCCCTGCCGCGGCCGCCGGAGGGGCGCCACCTCTCGGCCATGGGCAGGACGCGCCCGGCCGGCGACCCGCGGAGCGCGTCGCCGTCGTCGTCGCCCGGAAACGAGGGGGGGTCGATCGGGAGCCGTGATGCAAGCAGTGGCGAAGCGTCCTGGCGTGCGTAATATTAGAGGGGAAAAATAGCAGACACCAATAATCGTCGATTCCCAGAAAATGTTAGAAAATATGGGAAGTGGGGGTGAAACAAGCCTAGACATGTTTGGAAATTGTAGGGGATCCTGTTATGTGTGTGTGTGTGTCTATTTCTGTGTCCCAGGGCCCCTTCACTATAGGCCTACCAAACAATGTTCTAAGAACCTTTGGTGGTTTGCACGGAAGGTTCTTCGAACCTGTTCTGGCGGGGACCGTCGTGTTTTAACACATAAGGTTTATGTTCTGAGAACATGGTTTCTGTTCTTGGAACTTGTTGGCATTCTAAGACCATTTCGTGGTAGGCCTATATAGCAATGCTTGGACGGTCGGTTGCTGCTCAATTGATCGCCATGGGGGAAGCGGGTTCTTAGGGAAGCGAGTCTTGAGGTTTTCCGCCGTTTTCGGGCCTTCGGGGCCCTCCACGGGCCCTGGGACTGCCAAAGAACGGCTCAGGATGAAGATGTTGGTCCTGGGGGAAGGCCCCAGGTCCAGGGCTCGTCTCCCGCAGGACCCGTCTCCCCCATGCTGATTCGAGACGGGGTCCCATGCAAACGGGGGGCGGCCAGAGCTATAGGATCTGGCAGGATCCCCTGCAGAGCCAGGGGTGCACTGTCCGGGGCTCGCGCGCAGGAGCCTACAGGATTCAGAAGGGGAAAAAGCACAAAGACACAATGAATCGTCGACTCTTGGGAAAATATGGGAAAATATGGGAAGTGGGGGGGAAGACAAAAACCCAGAGAATATTAAAAAATATGGGGCATCTTGTTATTTGTGTGTATTCATTCATTTGTGTGTCCTGGGGCCCCTTCAAGGATCTTCCGGGACCCTGCTCGGCCTGACCTGCCCAGGTCTGCACCGACCCGGGCCAGAGCGTCCCCGAGGCGACCCCACCGCGGGCGTCCAGCGCCCCGGAGTCCGCAAAGCCCCCCCATAGCCCCCCTTATCCACTTTTTTTTCTCTGGTGTAATATACCCCAAAGGGGACACGATCGAAGACGAAGGGAAGTGGGGGGAAAAAACCAAGGACATGTTGGAAAATATAGGGAATCCTGTTATGTGTGTGTATCTATTTGTGTGTCCCAGGGCTTCTTCACTGATTGGGTTTTTTTCTCTGGTGTAATCTATCCCCCAAAGGGGATACGATCGAAGACGAAGAGGGCGGTTATCGGAGATTTGGGATATACGTGTTGAATGGCATGCGATCAGGTAAGGGCATGCAGTCTCAGAATTGTTGCTGTCTGTTGTTGGTGATGCTGTTTGCTGTTGCTCGCTGTTGCTTGTTGATGCTGTTGCACATCATCTCTGGGTGCGTGGTGGAAGTGGGTTCCCGCTGTCTGGGTGATGGTTAAGTATTATTGTTGTAGTTGGTGGCGGTGGTGTTTGTTGTTTCTTGATGCTGCGTGTTGTTGCTCTTTCATACAATCCTTGTGTGCGTTGGGGGATGTGAGATCCAGTGGCCCAGATTATGGTTGTCTGCTGTTGTTTGCTTCTTTGTGTGCTGAAATGTTGCCTGTTTGTTGTCGGGCTTCTTTTGTCCAGAGAGTGGTTACGGTTCAGGAGCAAAAGAACGACGTACACGTACATGAATCCGCGCTGGTTTCGAGGGAACGCATTGGCCGAATATTCGTGTCACGCGGCCAGCCACACACATCGAGGGGCCGCGTTCATGTGCATAGCTGGGCGCGTACGTCCTTTGTGGATTCCCTTACGGTCAATCCCCCCTCCCGCCTCCGGTGTCCATCTGTGTTCTCTCCACGAGGTGCCCCTCCCGGGGATCGCACCCCGCGTATCGCCAAGGGGCCACTGGGGCCCCGGCCTCCGAACTACAACAACAACAACAACAACAACAGCGGCCCTCACGATGTATGGAAGCTTTCGTGCTCACGCACGGGACGGTTTCCCTTTGTCCAGGAATCGCCCTCTCGCGCGGGACTTCCTCGCAGTTTGTTCAGAAGCCGCGCTCTCTCGCGCGGGGAGGTGAGTGTGTGTCCGGGAATCGCCCTCTCGCGTGGAACCTCCTCGCAGTTTGTTCAGAAGCCGCGCTCTCGACACTCATGAACACGCTTTCGCTTTGAACTTCCTCACGACTGATATGGGAATCGCGCTATCGCTCGAGCCTTCCCCGCAATCCATGCAGGACTAACGCTTCGGCGACCCGCCCGCTCGACGCATTCCTGCGCCTACACCCGTTTCCTGCTGATCTCTCTCCTGCCCATCCTTTTCCTTCGCCCACTGTCACGTCCCTCCCGCTTCCCTGCCCCTGTTTCAGGGGCTGTGCCAACTACACGTGGCAGGTACCCCAAGGGGATACGATCGAAGACGAGTGTGGCGTGCATTGGCGGTTTGGAATATACATGCTGATTGACACGCGAGCAGATAAGAGCGAACCGTTTTATAGCGGTTGTTGTTGGTGGTGTTTGTTTTTTGTTGGTGTTGTGGTTTTTGTTGTTGGTTTTGTTGCGGATGCTGTGATGGTTGTTATTGTTGTTGGTGTTGGTGTTGTTGTTTCAGTTGTTGTTGCGGTTGTTGTCGTTGTTGTTGTTGTTGTCGTTATTGTTCTTGTAGCTGTTGATTGTTGTCGTCCCCCGCCCGCGACCCGCCTCGTGACCCACCCAAGTTGCTTTGCCGAAGAAAGCGGCGATGTCGGCGTGCTCGTTGTGTAATGTGTTGAACATCCAGCGCCTGCGGCAAGTTTCTTCAGAGCCTCGCAGATTGCCCTCCCTGCTGCCCCATCACTCTTATCCGCAATTGCGGGGTGCTACATCCGAGTGAAGGGGACGAACGGTCATTCACTGTCCCCAGGCGTGTGGCTTGAGTGAAGTTCTGTGGTGCAGATTGTTGTCGACGTCGTTGTCTTTGTCGTCGTCGTTGTTGAACTCTCACTATTGGGAAACAAGTATTGCTGATCCCCCCCCTCTAGGGAAAGTCACTAGGCTTAAACTGCGTTGTTGGCCCCCTGCTTTTAAAACAACAAAGGCTCCCGCCTACTTCTCACAATGTATTCCAATCTCGCGCCCTCGCGCGGGACATCCTCACACTTTGTATACGAATCGCGCGCTCGCGTGGGACTTCTTCGCAGTGTATTCAGACGACATGTCCTCGGCGCTCAGGAATCATGATCTCGCTTCGGGTTTTCTCACGATGTACTTGGGAATCGCGTTATCGCTCGAGACGTCCGAGCGATTCATTCAGGACCCACGCTTCAACAACCCGCCTGCTCGGCCTGCCTTCCCGACCTGCCCACTATGGGTCTGCCCACGCGACCTGCCCGTCTGGTTCTACCACCTGTTGTCTGTGCCTTGCCCCCCTTCTGCAAACTTCTCTCGTGCTCCATTATTCTCCCTCCCCCGTTCACCCGTCTTCTCTTTCTTTGTTTTAGGGTTTGCACTAAATTCACGTGGCAGGTAAGGAAGATATGCCCCCAAAGGGGTACGATCCAAGACGACGAGGGCGGGTACCGAGGGCGTTGGGATATACGTTTCGATTGGCACGTGAGCACATAGGAGCGACAAGTCTTAAGTTAATTGTTGTTGTGGTCGTTGTAATTGTTAGTGTTGCTATTGTTTTATAGTTGCTGTTGCTGTTGCTGTTGTTGTTGGTGCTGGTGTGTGTTGTCGTTGTTGTTGTCGTTGTCGGTGTTGCTGTTGTTGTTGTCGTTGTCGTTGTTGTTGCTGCTGCTGTTGTTGTTGCGGTTGTTGGTGTTGGATGTTAATGACTAAACACTCATTATTGTTGGACCCCCCAGGCGCTTTGGCGCTCTCGCCTTCGCGCCGGCTACATGTTCATTGAGAATAAAGCTCACGCTCGAGCGGTTTGGGGGGGCGCCAAAACCGGCCCCTCGACAACAGCAACGCCCCCGCTCGAGACCTGCCCCTGTTTTACTCAGGGCCGCTGCTCCTGCTCACCGCCGAAAGCCGCCGTCCCAACAAAACCAGCGCTGCCGCTCGAGACTTCCTCCCGTTTTACCTTGGAGTGGCGCGTTACGTTTTCTCTCATCGGCGCCGCCCCCAGCAACAACAGCGCTCCCGCTCGAGACGTCCTCCCTTTTTTACTCAAGGCGGTGCTCATCCTCGCCGCCGAAAACCGCCGTCCCGACAAGACCAGCGCTCCCGCCCGAGACTTCCTCCCGTGTTACGCTGGACTGGCGCCCTTTCTCTTTTGAATTGGCGCCGCTCCCAGCAAGAACAACGCTCCCGCTCGAGGCTCGTCCCTTTTTCCTCAGGACGATGCTGTTCCCCGCCGCCGACAGCCCCCGCCCCCACAAAACCACGGCTCCCGCTCGAGACTTCTTCTCCTCGCCGCCGACAACCGCCGTCCCAGCAAAACCAGCGTTCCCGCTCGAGACTTCGTTTTGTTTTACGCTGGACTAGCGCCGTACTCTCTTCAGCATTGGCGCCGCGCCCAGCAACAACAGCGGCCCTGCTCAAGACTTCATCCCTCTCTTCATGGCCAGGTACTTCCTTGTGTTTTACCCTTGGCTGGGGCGCCACTGGCAGTCTTGCATCGGCGCAGCAAGGCGCGGGCATGCGTTTTCGAGGCGAGTTATGTTGAAATTCCTCGAAGGAGGTGCTTGCAAGACCTCATTGGGCGGGAGATCTGGGAATGGGAATAACGCGGCCCGCTATAGAACAACAATCCCCAATGATGGGGATGGTTATCATTATGGTCGCTTGCTTCGTGTGGAAACATCGCGCATGCGGGTATAATGATTGTTGTTGTTGTCGTCGCCGTTGCTGTTGTGGTTGTTGATGTTAATGTTGTTGTTGTTGTTGCTGCTGTTGTTGTTGTTGTTGCTGCTGTCGCTGCTGAAGTTGTTGTTGTTGTTGGTGGTGGTGGTGGTGGTGTTGGTGTTGGTGTTGGTGTTGTTGTTGTTGTTGGTGGTGTTGTTGTTGGTGTTGGTGTTGGTGTTGGTGTTGTTGGTGGTGGTGGTGGTGGTGTTGGCTGGTGTTGGTTGTTGGTGGTGGTAGTGGTGGTGGTGGTGTTGATGATGTTGTTATTAGTTTTGTGTTTGTTGTTGGTGTTGTTCTTCTTGTTGTTGCGTTGTTCTTTGTCGTCATCCCACCCGCGACCGGGTCCGCGACCTACCCATGACCCACCCGCGACCCATCCCCGACCCCACCCGCGACCCATCCGCGACCCACCCGCGATCCACCCGCGACCCACCCCGCAACCCGCCCGCGATCCACCCCGCGACCCACCTGCGAGCCGCCCGCGACCCGGCCTGCGACCCACCCGCGCCCCACCCGCGACCCAGCCGCGACCCATCCTCATTGTTTTAGCGAAAAAATCGGCGCTTGCGGCGAGCTCGTTGTAGATGTTGTAAATAGGCACCAACGGCGGGTTTCTTCAGAGCCTCGCAGACTGCCGACGTCCCCGCCGTCGCCTCACTCTTATCCGCAACTGCTCCGTATACGGAGCAGTTGCGGATAGCCAGCTTGGCTATAGCCAGTTTGGCTTAAGCGCGCCCGCCAAGCCTCCTCCAGAGAGCGCGCCCGCCTGCGCGCGCCCCGCGGCTGCGCGACCGGCAGCCCAGCGGCACCGCAGAGTCTGGAGGGCACTGCCAGCTTCTTGCAGGGCCGCGCCGCGTGCGCGCGCGGGCGAGCCGTGAGGTTCCGCAAGGCCGCCGCTGGCTGGCTTGCGGGGCCCGCCATGGCACGGCGAGGGTCGTGGTTCGACTTGCCCACCATGTCATCGGCCTCCATCGATGGACACGGGGAGACGGCGAGCTGTGATTGCCAGGCGAGCCACGGTGCTCTGCCCAGCAGCCCCTCTGTCTCCGCGGAGCTGGCGCGGCTGCAGGCCGCGCTGCGCGAGGCTGCGGCGAGGCACGTGGCGGCGCAGGAGGAGATCATCGACACCTGGAGACGTCGCATGCAGGCGTCGGAGGCAGGCTCCCCCAACGCGCCGCCGCGCGCAGACTGCAAAGACGACAATCATAGGGGAACGAAGGATGACATCAAAAATAGGAGGTCCGCACGAATTTCTCGGATCGGCGCTGGACTCCCCTCTGGCGCGCGGAGCGCGCCAGGGGCGGCGCCGGAGGCGCTGCCAGGGGGCCCCAGCGCCGATCCGAGAAATCCGAACGGACCTCCGAGTTTTTATGGTTGTGTCAATTTTCGTTTCCCTAAGTCATGGCTCGTACAGCATGTTCGCCTCGCGCAGCGTCTCCGCGAATAAGCATCCCTCGCAGTCGCCGAGATCGCTCTCCCACCAGTGGCAGAGCTCGGCCCCAGGACCAGACGAGGCGGCACCGGCCCTAACACTGGGCAGCCGGCAGTTCTCCGAGTCGCTGCAGTCGCCGCCGCGGCGCTTCAGTAGCGAGCGCAGGCGTAGCATCGACGAGAGCTCTATGATGTCTTTGGACGCCAACTCTGTTCACCTGACTGCCTTCTCCGGTCTACGGTCGCACGATGGCAGTACTGCTGGGTCGCAGGGTCCCCAGCAGCAGGATCCAGGACTGGTGTCCATGGTAACAGAGGGCTCTAATGCCCTGAGCCGCAAGTACGAGAGGTTGCGTATCTGGCTGTCCAAGCTCAAGGATTATGATGTTCCAACCTACTTTAGCCTTGACCACCAGAAGGAATTTCGAGCACCAGAAAAGTACCGAAGCTCGGGGGATTTCACGTGCCGGGCCCTGGGAGACATTCGTCCGACATTGTTTCGGCACTGTTGCGACACTCTTTCGACACTTCTCCGGGTGCTCGAAATTAGTTTTGGGATGTGGTCCTCAAGTACGATGGGAGCAACATAATTCAAGGAACCAGAACGCGACGGACCGTTCGCAAAGTTCATTGAGGGTAGCGTGTTCCAGACGGTGCTGATATTGATTATCGTTGCGAACGGTGTCTTCATTTCACACCAGACGAACTACGCCGTGGAACACATCGATGCCAGCGACGAGGTCAGCAGTGATATGATGATCGCCGAACTATGTTTCGTTAGTTTTTTTTCGGCTGAGCTCGCGATGAAGTTGTGCGTGCATGGTTGGTTTTTCTTCATTCGGGAAGATTGGGGTTGGAATGTGTTTGACGCCTGCGTCGTTGCCGCTTCAATCATTGATGTGGTGTTCACCTACTTGGAAGCTGCTGATGGGATGAACGTGACGCTCCTCCGAATCTGCCGTTTGTTTAAGTTGTCTAAGGTGTTCCGCATGTTCCGGGCATTCAGGTTCGTCGGAGAGTTGCGTTTATTGTTAAAGTGCGTCATGGGGTGCTTTGCCTCGCTCTTCTGGTCAGTCATTATGTTGATCTTCTTCAAGTTCCTCTTCGGCCTTTATTTTGTGCAGGCAGTCACGAGCTACATGCAGGAGTCGGAAGATATCGACGACGACACCATACAGAGTTGCGTTTTCCAATTCGGGTCCGTCCAGACGGCGATGATCACTTTGCTCAAGGCAACCACCGGCGGTCAAGATTGGGACGAGGCGTACGAGATCCTCCAGAAGGCTAATTTATTCGCAGCGGCACTGTTCCTCTTCTACATTGTCTTCTTTATGGTGGCCGTCTGGAATATCGTCACGAGCGTCTTTGTTGAGAAGATCATGGTGATGGCTGCCCCGAACATAGAGCAGGAGGCCTTCAAGAGGCGAAAGGAGGCTGAAGCTGACACACTCATGCTGTTGGAGTTGGCGCGAAACTTCGACGATAACGATTCAGGGACGATCTCCTGGGAAGAGTTTGTGAAGCTCATGCAAGACGAAAAATTCAGCTCGTATTTCACTGTACGGGGGATCGATATCAAGGACGGCCTGACGTTCTACAAGATGCTCAGCACGATCAGCGGCACGGACGAGGTGCCGCTGGAGTTGTTCGTGAGCGGGTGCTTGCGGTGCAAAGGCACGGCAAGCAGCGTCGATTTGTACACATTGGAGTACGAGTTCAAAGTGATGCATTCCAGCCAGAAGCAATTCCAGACCTTGCTGCTGCAGCAGCTCAACGAAATTCTGGAAAGCTATCCTACGAAGACCCAGCAGCTCGACTTCTTTCCTGGGTGCCGCGATCTGTCGGCATTGCCCCAGGATGACATACAGTCCCCGACGACAATGTTGACGGACCCTTCGAAGCCCACGTTCCCCAACGAGAGTGACGACACTCACTACATCTGACGGGGCTGTGATTTCCGCGATCTCTTCCTCTCCTCTTCTTCTTCGTCTCCTGCTTCCCTTTCCTCCGTTTCTCGGACATTTGGGCGCCATACGCGTACCGTAACCTTGCTCGTCAATATCCCGCGCATCTTGACAATTCCTGATGCCGTTCTTCCGCAGCGCGTTCTTCACGCTGCTGGCCCTCGGTTGTCGCACTTCGGAGACGACAGGGCTGGGAGCGGACTTCGCCACACTCGCGTCAAGAGCGCTGCTTGATGACGAAGATTGGAGCACCACGATGCGTCGAATGAACGACCGTCTAGACAGCGCTCTCAGATCTTGCCCTGTTCAGAGCTGGCGAGTGCGGCTGGCCCACTTGCAACACAGTTTCGCCGCTCAGCTGGGGAGAACACCTGACAGCTGGGCGCGCCAACTACCAAGCTGGAGCCCGGCCGCCACCTCTGCTGGAGCAGGCCGTGGGCGAGGTCGTCCGGCATGTCGGTGGGGCGACGATATGCAGAGGTATTCGCTCGCTCAGTTTGGCGAGCCATGGTGCGCCGCTGTTCTGGACCGTAGGGAATGGCGTGCGCAGGCCAAGGGCTAAGCGCAAGACTTCTGAGTCCAATGATGCATGAAAATTTTCCGTCGCCCAGGTGAATTCGTAGTTTCCTGCCCGCGTCGGCCTGCGGACCGATGAGGTTCGACCAGGCCTTGCTTGCTTGCATCCATATCAAGATAGAGATCTGTCTGCTTACATGAATGTATGCTTGCAGTTGTACCGCCTCCCACCCTGACCATGTCCGCGTCCAAAATCGCGTCTTCAGCAACGAACGCGTTGGCCTCGAAACCCGCGGTTTCCGTTTATTGGGGCCTCATGGATTGGGGCGCTTGGGGGGGCCCCGGGCGCCTCCCAAGCCAGACCCCAGGACGATTCTGCCGCGAGCCCCTCGCCCGTTGGGCCTCAAGGCAACGGAAACCCCAGGTGGCCGTCCGAAGAAGTGGTCGCCCCTGAGGCTTCCCGTGGGAAATGCATTCGGGGCCGCCATGGGATCTCACTGGCTCGCGGAGCCCTGTTCGAGGCACCCTGAGACCCGCGCGGCGCATCACAGAGAGGCCGAGGGGAGTGCGATGCCACCCCCGCGGCGCGGAACGGATGGCCTCCCATCGATTTTCCGCTCCAAGAGGGTCCGTAAACTTCCCAAGCCGTCGGTCTTCCCTCTCCAGGCGGCTCCAAGATGGTCTCCAAGACGGCCAAGATGGCCCAAGATAGTCCCAAGACGTTTCCAAGACGGGCCGAGACGCCCCCAAGACGGCCCACGAAGGCCTCACTATCGCCCAACCACGGCCAAAGAGGCCTTCCAGACGGTCCAAGAGGCCTCCAAGAGGACCTCCATGACGGCTCGAAGAGGCCAGCGATATTGTTTGACCGGAGGTTTTCGGATGATCTTGGCGATTGCTCGTTGTCGTCTCCCCGACGGCCCACGACGGCCCTAGAGACAACCAAGATGGCCCCAGACGCGAGCCCAAGAGGCTCCCCATGACGGCCCAAGAGGCCCCCAGAGAGGCCCCAGGAGGGCCCCGATGCGGCCCAAGATGCCTCCAAGATGGCCTCCAAGACGGCCCTGAGGCGCCCCGAGAGGGCCCCAAGCCAGCACCGAGAAGCCACCAAGACGGCTTCCGACGGCGTCAGACGGGCCAGGAACACCCTCAGACGGCCCAGGAGCCTCCCAAGGAACCTCCAAGAGGCCCCCAAGAGGCCCAAGGGCGCTCCCAGGAGGTCCCATAGGGGCGCACAGGAAGCTCACAGGAGGCCCCAAGGGTGCCCCAAGAAGCCTCCTCCTCCTCCTCCTCCTCCTCCTCCTCCTCCTCCTCATCATCATCATCATCATCATCATCATCTTCCTTCTCATGTTTCATCCCTCTCCTCCTGTTATCCCCCGCGGGTTCCCCGAATGGGTTCCACAACGGCTGGGGGAACACGTAGTCCGATCGATGGGCCGAGCTCTGGCCGCAACATTCGGACACACAGGTGCTTCATCCGCCGCCCCCAAGTTGCTTGCAGCGCAGATGGTAGGAGGTAAAGTCCCAAGCGCCTCCAAAGCGGCCAAGATGGTCCAACATTGCCTCCAAGATGGTTAAATCAGAGAGCCCCAGATGGCCGCACGATTTCTCCAAGACGACCCCACATGCCGCCAAGATGGTACACGACGGCCCAGTAGGCCTCCAAGAGGGCCCGAGAGGCCCCCAAGAGGACCTCCATGAGGTCCTCCAAGAGACCATCATTCTGAACTTAGGTTTTAAACTGATTTTAGCGTTTTGGCCTTTTCAATTCAGGCTTCCGACGCTCCAAGACGGTCCCATTGGTCGCCGATATCACCCCGAGAAGCCCCAAAGAGGCCCGCAAGACGGCTCAAGAGGGCCCAGGCCCCTCAAAAGGCTCCATCGACCTCCAAGACGACCCTAAACCCCCAAATGGGGACGCACGACTGCCCAGAGAGGGCCACAAGCCCGCCTCTCAAGGCTAAGAGTCCCCTAGAGACCCCCAAAGGCCTCAAGGGGCCACCAAAACGCCCAAGGAGGCTTCCAAGAGGCCCCAGGAGGCCCTTCAGAGGCCCTTCAGAGGCCATTCAGAGGCATCTCCCCCCGAGAGGCTCCCAGGAAGCCCCCAAGAGGCCTCAAGAGGGCCTCAAGAGGCCTCCTCTTCTTCCTCCTCCTCCTCCACCTCTTCCTCGTCCTCTTTCTCTTTCTCTACCCGAGGGGTTCCACAACGACTGGGGGGACACACGATCCGATTTTGGCCAGACTTCGGCACAACGTTTGGCCGCATGGGCGTTTCCAATAGGCAGAGGGCGACGGGATTCGCCGTAGGCGTCTGCGATATAGTTCGCGCTTATTGTGCTATGTTCGTGTCCACGCGTCCTGCTGTCATGTGTTCCCTCACTGCCAGGACGCCTTGGGATTATATATATAAATTTATATATATATATATATGCGCACCAAGTCTCACCACTACCGAATATCCGACGCAAAAACAGAAACTGAATGGAAACAGTAGACGTAACAGAAGTAAATGCGATGCTCACTGGAACAGGCACTGGCTCGTGCACTCACCCTCCAGAGTATCCAGTACGGCCGCGTGCCATCGCACGAGCATGCACGTTGCCTGAGCGCGCGTGACTCCCACCGAAGACCGGGCTTAGCCCTTGCGATTGCCCGGCTCTACGCAGGCCGGCAACCATCCAGCGATTTCGTCACCACACACATTGGCGCTGCAAGGCACTCATCCTTGCCGAGTGTGGCGCAGACCGCTCCCAGGTGGGTCTGCCCCGCCGTCTCCAGAGCGCGGCAACCGAGGGCCAGCAGCGTGAAGAGCGCGCTGCGGAGGAACGGCATCGGGAATCGTCAAGATGCGAGAGATATCGACGCGCAAGGCTACGGTACGCGTACGGGATCCAAGTGTCAAATATCTCGACCCAAATTGGCGTTAGAGGACCGTGACGAGAGCTCTGGAGTGAATCCTCGGCTTCCCTCGAGCTCTTGGATGAACCTGCCTATGCAAGAAAGGTGGATCAACACTTCCCCGCAAACAACGAACAAAACACGTGTAAAAGGCGCGCGGGAATGCCAGCTGCAATCCCCATGTTCACCCCCATGTACACCCTGCTGTATTCATTCAGCCCATCATTGTGTCTGGTGGGTCTGCGCACAGCAGGCCACGCGCCACCACCCCCACCGTCCTTGTCAAAAAACACTTGACAGTGATCGCGGGATGGCCGCACATGATCCAGATTCAGCAGCGAGGTGCATGTTGTATTGTTTTTGTGTAGCCCTGTGCGCAGCAGAGAATATGCTGACACCCCCGCCGTCCCTGACAAAACCAATACAAAGTGCTCGCGGGCCTCACGAACGTGACCCAAGACTTTGCCCCAAAGGTTCACATGGTTTTTTACAGGGATGGTGGGGAAACGCATCGGGTTGGCCGCGCATGCTCCAAATGTGGAGGCTGAGTGCGGCTTCTATTTGTTTGACAGGGATGGTATGGGGCGGGCCCTCATGGAGTCGGCATGGTTTCGTGTTGGCCGCCGGCCTGGTGGGCGAGGGGGTGTGTATTAATAAGGAACTGTGACAGACCCATTGACAGACCCATCCCCGAAGGGGAAAAAAGGAGGTTGGAAGAGGAAGCTCCCTAGACCACCGACGCCCAGATGGGCTGGTGGGATTGGGGGCGCGGGGGGTGCTCACCAGCATCCATGCATGACGTGCGTGCCGCCGCAGGGTTATGAACTTTCCAGCCGCTCTGGGGCAGGCGTCCCCGACAGCGGAACAGTTTATCCGGGCTGGACCTAAACGGTGTTTTTGGTGATTTCGGGGGCCGTTTTCGTTTCGACTTCGTTTTGCGGTAAAGGCGGATTCGAGCCAAAAGCGAGGGGAAACGAACACAACACGAAGACGAAAAACACCGTTTGGGTTCGGCCCTGCAGTTTATGATGTACAGCTCTTCGTTCCCCGACCCCAAGACCTCCGTCCCTTCACGCCAGCGTTCGGTGGCGCCTCTCTCAGGGCTCGTTTCGATTCCTCCGATTCGATTCGATTCGATTTCGATGGTTTCCGATTCCGATTCGATTCGATCCTGGGCTCTCCTGCTCTCTTGCCTTCTCGGCTCGAGAGGCGTTCCGCCTGTGGCTCTAGGAGTCGCCGGGGCAGGCCGTGCCGCCCCGCCGCACGGAGCTGCCCCGGGCGCCAGAGGCCCAGGTGCTCGCCCCCACGGCGGCCTCGCCCTCCTCGTCCACCTCGTCCTCCTCCTCCTCTTCCTCCTCCTCCTCCTCGTCCTCCTCTGGCTGGATGGAACAAAAACGGGCCTGACCCAGGCGCTCGACGAGTACAGCAGGCAGATCATCCTGCTGCGGACGCTCGTGCTGTGCCTGTCACATCAGCCGATCATCGAGTTCGGCACGCAGTGAGGCCTGCTGACGCTCGTGCTGTGCCTGATGTTCCAGGCCCCTGCCGCCAGCCGAGAGACA